TGACGGCTTCATTGCTTTATTGGAGAGTTTTTCACCACAAATTACACACAACGGATTTGACGCCACGGAATCGCCTGTTGTCGTGAATCCATGTATGAGGTATTTACGATTGAAGCTTGACTTTTTCTTTCTCTATATTTCAAGTTGGTCATCGCCTTTCCTTTTACCGGAACTGTCCCCAATGAAATTAGCTATTAAAGGCTGCTGAGCCCGCTCATCTCTCTGCATACTTCGTCACTTCGCTCAGTCTGTTAATATGACGCGTTGCTAAGCAATCGGGAGGCGCTCAAAGAAACACGTTTTAATATTTTTATTTATTTGTATTCATTTATTATTTGTGTTTTGGATTAAATAACATGACACGTTAAAAAGCATCTTAAAAAGACAAATATTATTATGGGAAAAAAATTTTTTTCTGGAAATATTTCAAGGCCCGGTACTAACGTGTTCACGGACCGGCACCGGTCCGCGGACCGGGGGTTGGGAATCACTGTAATAAAACATCGGTACATAGTCAACCGTTCTCTGAGATTTGTTTTCATGATAATCGAATGTAAAGAGTTTTATCTCTAAAAACTGTTTAGCGTATAATGCTAGTAATGGGGGCATTGACTAAGTAAAAAGAAATCGCTAGTTTATACCACTAACAAGGCTCAAAATAGCCCCACACTAACGCAGTAATATAATGAGGCTCCATACATACAAAACGAAGCATTGAGAACTTTGTAAGTGTACAGACCGTTTAATAAGAAGATAATTTATGAAGACAGTTCACTTCGCGTTTACAGACAGGAGCCATCTTAAAAAATAGACTTGATAAGTCAAACCACGAACGTCGTGCTGAGTGATCTGAACTCTATGAAGTTCAACGAACATCTGAACTGTATGAACGGCGTTCGGGGATCGACTTAGAGACTATTTTTTAAGATGGCTCCTGCCTGTATACGCGAAGTGAACCGTCTTCTAGGGTTGCCGCGGTGAGGAAAATTTCCCACCGGTTAATCGACGTGTGACAACACCGGTAATCCCGGTGTCACTGTGGAGGGCAGGGCGGGGGGGTTAAATAGCTTTTAAATGCGTGCGCGTTATACTTTCACTTTCGAAATAAGCGTCAATTGCTTGAATGGACAAAAAAAAAAAACAACTCGCTGATAATACAACTTTTATTTATAGACTTTTATTAGCATAACGAACAAATAAAAATAACCCCATGCATAGGCTGAAAAAAGTGAAAATCGGCAAAATGTGGGCCCAAACAAATAAGAACCATAAAACGTTTATTAACGAATAAGAAAATAAAATAGGCCTAAATAAATTACACAAAGTTTAAATGAGATAAAACCAATTAAAAAGAGACGAATATAAAATAAAAACTTCAAAACGGACCTTAGCCTACATAAATGACATACTTTCACTTTCGAAATAAGCGTCAATTGCAATTCAGCGTCAATTGCTGGAATGGACAAAAAAACAAAAACAAAAAAACAACAACAACTCGCTGACAATAAACTTTTATTTAGACAGCACTTTTATTAGAATAATAAACGAATAAAATATAGACAGAACTTTTATTAGCATAACGAACGAATAAAAATAACCCCATGCATAGGCTGAAAAAAGTGAAAATCGGCAAACTGTGGGCCCAAAAAAAATAAAACGTTTATTAACGAATAAGAAAACAAAATAGGCCTAAAAAAATTAAACAAAGTTTAAATAAGATAAACCAAATAAAAAGAGACGAATATAAAATAAAAACTTTAAAAAGGACCTTAGCCTACATAAATGAAAGCACTCTAAAAAAAAGTAAAACACTATAAATTGGCATTTATTAACATTAATATATATTGGCCAAAATATTGCCAAACAGGCGCTTTTGCATTGCGTTTTGACACCAAATCTTCCGCCATTATCTTGCTTTTCTGTAATTTGACTCGTTCTCGTCTCCACACGTGCCAAATGGAATCCTGATGCTTGCTGATCTGTGACGTGACGGCACGCGTTGCGCAGTTCATTTTTAATTATAACGCTCTCTTCAGAACTAAATAATTGAAAATTATTATTTTTAATTAATTCAAATAAATATTTTAGCAAAAACGAATACTTAAAAAAAAAAAAAAAGTCAAGACATCGCGGTGTCACGGTGGGAAAGTGATGTCACCGGTGATAGACTTAAAACCGGTAACACCGTCAACACCGTCTATCGCGGCAAGCCTACTGTCTTCATAAAGCATCTTCTTATTAAACGGTCTGTACACTTACAAAGTTCTCAATGCTTCGTTTTGCATGCATGGAGCCTCATTATGTTACTGTGTGAGTGTGGGGCTATTTTGAGCCTTGTTAGTGGTATAAACTAGCGATTTCTTTTTACTTACTCAATGCCCCCATTACTAGCATTATACGCTAAATAGTTTTTAGAGATAAAACTCTTTACATTCGATTATCATGAAAACAAAACTCAGAGAACGATTGACTAGGTACCGATGTTTTATTAGACCAAAGGTTCATTGTTCGCCGGAGTTCTCCTTTAAATAGATGGGATCCCCATGAGGGAATCACTGCCTCTGGCGGTCATCTTAAACTCATAGAACCGTAGTTACATACGCAACTCATTTTTTGCATCATCGTGTAATGAAGTCACTAGAACTTAGCATTTAATTGCCAAATAAGCCACACAACTTTCAGTGTAGTAAATATTGTGGTTTTCATATTCTGTGCAATAGCACACAGTTAACTTCGTCATTTAAGGGGGGGGGGGGGGGGGAGGGTTGATTGCGATTTCACTTTTTTCATTTCAAATAGTGTGTAATGTTGCTGTTGGTGCATGAACAGTATCTGCACAGTTGCAGCGCTGAAAGTTCAACGTAAGCACAGATATCGTCTTTTAAAAAATCAGGAAGTTTACAGCCTACAAAAACGACTTGATTGGGACTTTAAGACGTCACTAACCCATACATTTACATCAACCCTCCCTCCGGAATATGCAAAAAAGGGCATGGTCATATTTTTGCGGCTCGTCGAGTGAGTTATTGTTCACCCAGCTGTCAGGTCTTCTGTGTTCGGGCTTCCCACGGAAGCTGTAGTTCGTCAACAATGTATACAATTTATGTTTGATTATGTTCCTGAAAACGACGATCATAATTTAGCTCTCTGTGCTGTGCGCATTTTACGAAAGACAGCTTCCAGAATCTCCACGAATTCAATGGCGGATTCAACAAGAAACTGTTACTAAAACATGAAGCAGTTCCAACTTTAAAACCAGAGGCAGCAGTTGTTGGGCCACAACCTGTAAGTAGACTAAGACTTAATCATTTTAAATGTATTTGCATGTATAATTTCAGACGTAATGTTTTAGTTTTATCAAATGCCAGCGCTGGCTTTATAGCCACTAGGCTACTAGTTATGCTGTTTTTGTGTCTAGGAAAAACACTTACAAACATTTTGGACCTGAATTTTGTATATATACTAATGTTGTAAATGTATTTTTCATGTAAATATACTTTGACGTTATTTATAAATGACGTTATTTTCGATTTGATCAAGAACGTAAACCAATGCCAACGCTGTGTGTATATAGTAGCCAGTCAGTTCGATGCCATTGTGTAAAACAAACATGTATAAAGTTAAAAAAAAATATAGGCAAATTATCATTCAGAAATGTTTAGTAAGAGACTCAGGAAGTCAACTGGTCATTCAGATGACAGAGGAGAAAGCGGCTTACAATAAAGGTGAAATTTATGACCCTTACTGAACTGTGCACACACATTTTAGATATCCTATGTTGTACTTTCCATGCAATAAATGCACATCCTTAAGTAAGGTGCTTTTATTTATATTGTGCATTTACTGCTGTGCTATGGGCCATTTCAGGACCATCCTTAATTACAATTTAAAATCTATTGTTATTGATTTGAGAGTTTTTCAAGAGTTATTGAAACGCCTCTTCATTTTACAAATAATGGTTCAGAGAAGAATAGATCCTGATATTCTGTGGTCACTCCAGGACAAAGTTCCCGGAATTAGGAATCGTAATTATTCCAAAAGATTTGGAATCCAACAGTCCAACCTGCATCAAGGGAATTTAGGTATTAATTATCCCAGAGCTTCCCAGGGGTAAATATGAATTGAGAGGGCATTAATGTCCAATTTTTTAAACTAGGATTTACAATAATTAAATCAACAGAGAGAGGGAATTCAATTTAGCGGTTTTATTTACAAAATGCACTCATTCATGGCTGTTTTTTTTATTCATGTAAAATTACGTCTTTATTAACATGACTGATTACGTGACGCGAGTTCATCTCTATTCATAGTTTAAACTACATAAAGCATGTAACATTTATTTTTTCATAAATATCTGTTTTGTTAAAGTTTAAATAAAGCTGACAATGCATGTAGTCACGCAATGCTGGCGTTGTTAACGTTAGAATTTGAGAACAAAGTATAATTTGCACGGTTTTGCGTGATACACGAACCAGAACAAAAGTGGATGTTACCTTTTCAGATGACATTTTCCGGTGAAAATGATTGTTGGTCACACTTCAAAAAAGAATAATCTTTGATTCTGAATGCCAGTATTGACACCAGCACAGTAATTGACATCTGCACACTCTCCTCAAACATTGTGTTCATTTGCAATGTCGAGCTACAAGTCACTTTAAGTTGATAATTCTGCGAATGACTGCAATTGCAGATTTCGAACAGAGATGGCGACAAAGAGGAAAAACTGCAGACTGCAGCTTTAAGGGATGCCAATTATTTTACCTATAAACACCGTTGTTGCCTCTCAAATGCTGTGCTTTAATGGCGGTCTTGCACGCAATTCTCAAAATAACCACAAGATGGCCATTTATCGGCAGAAGAAACCAAGTAGATAACATTAGAGCGAGTAGTGCTTGCCTTCACAAAACTCTGATGCTACAGTGGTTGCCAGGGAATTTCTATGCAGTTGCTAAGATGTTCTGAGTGAAAAATTGAAGACAAAAAAAAATAAAAGTACCCACCCATGATTTTCAATAAACGTGTATCTGGGGACAGAGTTGATATCTGGAGTCACTGTGGCAACACAGCTCTCAAAATATATGCGGAGGTTAATGTGATGACCCAGACGAACTGAGGCTTCCATGTTTATGATGTCACCCAAGAAGTACACAGCAGAGGTCCGTTCAGAGTGCCAATCACCTGCACCAGAAATAATGCAAACCAAGTATGACCATTCTACAAAGTATGACAATTCTAAAACTGTCTACTTCAGACATTTATGTAAAGAAAATAAAGAGTCCTGAAATTACAAATACCCCTGCACATACTTGTCATTAGCTTTAGTGAAAACTGCAAGTCCTCCAGTGCAGATTGCGTTGAAACGTAAGGAACCCATGTTGGTTTGATGGAGTTACTGGTAATGTCAAATCTCCTGAGAGACAGTGGACACAAAATAAAATACCCCATCTTTATACCCATCCCGAAATAGTAAAGTGGGGTAACATGGTTAGTCCACTTACCTGCTGTAATAACATTCAATAGGAACTACTGCCTGCTCAAGGCGAACCACTCCATCTGGAGAGGGTTGTGGAGTGAAGATAAGGAGGTTGGTGTATATAAGAGAGTCATCTGTAATCTGAACCATATAAAAGGTTAACTAATTAATTATTAAATTGATTAACAATGCATTTAAGTGGTTGTCAAGAACTAGACTTTATTAATTAGGCTTTGGTCTGATGTTAAATTAAATGCTGCATACAAGCCGCTTTGCTATTGTCTTAAACTACGTTCAGACTGTCAGCCCAAATCAAACTTTTGTGCATATCCAATTGAAAGCGTGAAAAGCAAAAAAAAAAAAAAAAAAAAAAAAAAAAAAAAAAAAAAAAAAAAACACACATGGAATGCTCTTTTTATAAATGACTAGAGCTTCATTCAAATGTGGTTTGAAATTATATTCAAATTGCATTTCTGGAAATCCATTTCAGTCTGACTGCTCTGATCGGATTTTGCGTGACTCGCGTTATAGACCTTATGTAGCCCCGCCCCTTTTCAGCGCTCCGCTCGTTGTCTTTTGTCTTCCGGTCTGTATTTTCACAGTGATCTATTTATGAATGAACGGCTTGTTTTAAAATCTTTCTGGGGCTCGTTTCAATAAGGAGGTTTAACCAACTCTAAATTAAAGCTTGAAGAGTTGACTTACCCTGAGATGGGAAACTCTGAGTTTTCGGTTACAGAACAGCTGAAATGAGTTAGTTCAATCAACTCTGAGTTGACTGACTCTGAGTTAAGCGCGTGCACCACAGCTATAAAAAGCCATTATCAATGGAGCGCAGATATTCTGAGTCACCATGGCAACAGCGCCAGACAAAAAGAGGAGTTGGGTATAATTAATTACCAAGTAATCTTAATATTGTAATTTAATTAAAGGGATTACTCTTAATTCTTCTTTAATTTAAAATAAAATATGATGCAATTACATTAAATAGGCTACTGCATAAACTATAGACCAATTCAGTATAAAACAATAGTGGATTTAGCATACATTTTTAAAAAGTATATTTTTTATATAACCTTCTCCCTCTACACACTTTGATAAATTCAAGAATAATTCATGCAATTGTATTGTTAATTTGAAAGCATTAAAAGTGCAGTTTCTTGTCTCTCCTCCTTGTATCAATAATGTGGTTGAGGTTGATATAGGATTTAGTAATATGTAGACTTACAATACTTTCTAGAGATAGTAATTATTACATTAATCTAACTACACCGTTGAAGATGTCATTTGTTGTTAATAATTCATAACTATTTTAGAGTAACTGTTATAATATCAGAGGTGAAACTGGAAGAATGTTATTCAACCTAAAGTAGTCTACTATTACTTTGATACATTAAGTAAAAGTAAAAATAGTCTAAAAAATCTACTCAAGTAAAAAGTAGTTAATTTAAAACATGAGCAAAAGTTGCTGAGTAACTTGTTTAACAGCGGGGGTGGGGTGGGGGACTCCCCCATGTGGGGTTGTAACGTATGAGAGTTTCACAGTATGAGAACCGTCTCAGAAAATATCACGGTTTATGGTATTAAACAATTGTTAAATATATAAACTGCATTATTAAATTACGGTTATTATTTTCATCAGTTAAAATGACAGTTAAATAAATTAAACATTTGTTCAATAAAACATAATATCAACTAACTTCAATAATTGATTATGATTGACATCTTATTTTTTTTATCATTGATAACTTATTAAATTTTATTACAATTTTTTCAATGATTTAATAGAAATATATTATCCAAAACAGTGGTAATCAAATAAAAGTTTAGCAAATGTTTTAATCCTTTTATTTTTTGGCAAAGTGCTGCAAAACAGATTTAGTCAATTTAACCATGGACAAACAATATATATATATATATATATATATATATATATATATATATATATATCCTTAAAGAATGTGTAAATACATTTTAGTATTATTGTTGGTGTTTAAACAGCACTTTCTCTTTAAAAAAGGGGAGGAGACCGCAAGAAACTCTGGGTTTACTGAAGAAAACCTGCTCCCGACCAGGTTAGGTTCACAGAGTTACCATGGTAACTGACTCTGAGTACAAGTTACCTCTCTTTCAGAAACGGGCTTGACTTACTCTGCTTTCTCGGGTTTGATATACCCCCCTTTCTGAAACGGAAAACCCAGAGTTTCCCTCATTTCAGGGTTAACATACTCAGAGTTTTCACTTAACCTCCTTTCTGAAACAGGCCCCTGGTCTACTGACATTGGTTAAGACATCTGCTTTAAACATTACAATCCTCATGATAACTTTCGTTAACTTTACATTAAGTAAATCCACTTCAACAGCTAATTACTCCTGGACAGCAATGCCATAGAGATATACAGAGCGACCGCAAAAACAAAAGTTCAAAGACAATATTCTAAAGATGGTGGCGCCCTTGTTTCTCTGGTGCATAAGGTCTATAGAAAGACAAAGTCACTGCAGAAACAAGGTTGTAACATAACAGCATATAACAATATAACAGACATTTTAAACCGGCAAAGATGACAGCATGGAATAAAGCTGCAACCAGCTACAGTGCTCTACAGCTGCCTCAGAAGACACTAGTCCAACATGGGTCTACACATTGTTGTAAAACAGACAGCATCTGTATTGCAAACACCATGCAAAAATTCTCCTGTCCCAAACCCTTCTCGGGTCATATTTTTCACCCGTACGTTTGAGCTTTACTGAACTGGCTGTAGCTGGCTGGTCTGTTAAGAGTGAGCGCTCGTGAGCGGGCACGTGATTTACACACATAAAAATACGTACTACTTTTTTTTTCTTCGGCATTTTCTTTGCTTTATTGGCGGTAGTCCAGTGTTCCCCTTTGTGTTTTGTGGTTTCGCCGGGTTCCGCAAGGAAGTTAGAGAAAATAGAGGAGTCAAAGGTTATATGACGCCATAGACGGGCGACGAAACAGAAATAAAGAAACGTCCCGTGTCTTCGAATTAAACTATAAATTTCTCCGTATTTGAAAGTTGGTGGAAACTGTCGGAATAATGCAAGTACACATCTAATAGAAATATATAACATAGATACAGTTATTTTTGCTATTTTTAAAGCAGAAAAAAATACATATTGTGGCTTTAATGAATTGTGTCTGAAAGCAATGTACACAGCCAAGTTTATACATTTATATATAGGACTATACAGCCATCTAGTGGTTACACCTTAGTATTACAACTGATAAATGGTTCATAATTTAGAGGTATACATTTCGGACCATCAAATCCCGTTATATAGCCAGTACTTGTTTCTGTTTTCCAACCAGAGGAAACTACTGGCTACATAAAACCCTACCAGAGGAATGATTTAATTTTATTTTAAATGTTATTTTGCTTATTTTTGCATTATATTACCACCTATTATTGTCTACAGTATCCGGGGCCGTCTCTAGTGGGGTGAAAGGTGGTGACAATTATAGGGGCCCCCGCTGACCAGGGGGCCCCACAAAATCCAACAGTTATACTATTTAAGTTATACTATTTGTTGTATAGACCATTTCACAAGATGTAAACAACACTGGTCCAGAAACACTTCCTGTTTCAGTTTGTAACTGTTTTCTTTATTTCACATGTAAAGAAAACATCTTAAAGATGTTTGTTTAACTTTTTGATTCAGTTTTAAATGTTCTGTTGGTTGTATTTTATCCCAGCTTTTATGTAGTGTTAAAAAACTGAAACAGGAAGTGCTTCTGGACCAGTGTTTACATCTTGTGAAATGGTCTATAAATAATATTTATATTAGTTGTATGCCTGAGATTTAAATGAAAACCACAAAAACGTTCAATTTGGTTAAATATTTTTCCAAATATCTGCTTCTCGTACCTCTAGTCCAACCTAAAGTATTTATTAATTATTCAATCAGAGCCAGTGACAAACATCAGTTGAACCCAATAAAATTGTAAGTCCCATTCCAGCTTGTGAACAGAACGCTAGTTACGCATGTAACTGTGGTTCTGTGAATTCTGGATGACCGCCAGAGGCAGTGTAAACACTATGGATTATCACAGCGCCAGCTAAGATAGATCCAGAGAATATACCAACAAAGTCACGTGACGTGACGTATGCTGAGCCCTGGAGGTAAAGCTACAGTAAGCTCAGCACTCTACCTCGGTACGCCTTTCTCGCGCATTCCGAGTGACTGAGAACTCTGGCGGTCATCCAGAATTCACAGAACCACAGTTACATGCGTAACTAGCGTTCTGTTTCATTCTTACTGACCGCCAGAGGCAGTGTAAACACTATGGATGACACATACCAACATAGTCATGAGGAATGCCACCCACCTGATGAATCAAGGCTGCTCAAGAAGAACCGCAGAACTAACGGCATGATGAGCAGCGATGTTGATTTTATAGAACCGGGCAAACGTGCATGGAGAAGCCCAGGTAGCGGCATTGCAGATGTCCACCAGGGAAACTCCTCTAAAAACAGCCCATGAAGATGAAATGGCCCTAGTGGAATGACAAGTTAGTTTCCATGACAGTGGTCTCCCTGCTGCCTTGTAAGCCAGCGTAATGGTCTCTACTATCCAGTTCGACAATCTCTGCTTCGACACTGGAGCACCTTTCTTCACACCACCATAGCAGACAAATAACTGGTCTGACTGTCTAAGTTGAACAGTAGAGTTCACATAACACTTCAATGCCCGAACAGGACACAAAAGTTGGGCACTTGAGTCAGACCCAGAAGAAGTCTGAAAAAAGGCCAGTTCAATGTGCTGATTTATGAACTGAGGAAGAAGGACCTTCGGAAGAAAAGAAGGATTGGGTCGCAGAACCACCCCGGAGTCATCCGGTAACCAACGCAAGCACGGTCCACTAACAGACAATGCGTGCAACTCACTGACTCGTTTCGCAGTAGCAATAGCTAACAAAAAAGAAGTCTTCAAGGACAACCATTTAATGTCAATGCTTTGCAAGGGCTCAAATTGGGGTGAACACAGGAATGCAAGCACGAGTGACAAATCCCACACTGGAAAATGAGGATTCCGAGCGGGGTTCAGACGGCGTGCACCCTTCAGAAAACTGCAGACAAGACTGTGAGAGCCAAGAGAAGAGCCACCAACTGGAACATGAT